TCTGCTGGTGTTTTCAAATGACAACAACATCTTTCTTAAAGAGCAATTCGGGTTTAGGAAAGGCCACTCTACCATCCACCAACTCGCACGGGTTACTAACATCATCAAACGGAACAAGTCCGTTTCCAATACATCTGCCATGGCATTGTTGGACGTCGAGAAGGCGTTCGACAATGTCTGGCATGATGGCCTAGTGTACAATAGGGTGTTTCATTTTGAAAAAAGTGATGAATTTTTGATAGGCCACCCTCCAGTTCGATTCATAGCCCCAAAATATGAACCTGTGCAAAAAATGGTAAAGATTGATGAAGGTTTAGAGGTCGCGCCAATGATTTGGATTTTGTATGGAGATTTTGGTGAATTAGTATGGGAAATTATTGATTTTCGTTTACATTGCTCTAACTTTGGTTGTAGTTGTCCAAACGTTGAAAAAAAAAAAATATGTGGTTGTCATGACAATGATCAACAAGCCTGTTGTTGTTGCGATGAAATTGGCGTTGTTGCCTTGTACATATTCATCTGTCAATTTACCCTATTTTGCCATTTTTTCACATTTTTATAATTCTTGATACGCTGCAAAACTGAGCGTAGCAACTGTAGGCTTTTTGTTTATTGCCATAGCAATAACATACTAAATTTTTTCGACATTTGGACAAGTAGAAGCAAAGTTATAGCGATATAAGCGATTTTTTAAATTCTTCCATAGTAATTCCCATACAAATTTCAAATCATTGGCGCGACCTCTAAACCTTCATCAATCTTTACCAATTTTTGCACAGGTTCATATTTTGGGGCTATGAATCGAACTGGAGGGTGGCCCATCAGAAATTCATCACTTTTTTCAGAATGAAGCACCCTAGTGTACAAGCTGCATCGATACAACTTCCCGATCTTCCTCGTGAAGATCATCAAAAACTACTTGTCGGGCAGATCATTCCAGGTCTTCTTGAACAATTCTCCTTCTGATACGTTCAACGCTGATGCTGGGGTTCCCCAGGATAGCCTCCTTGGTCCTATCCTCTTTAACATCTTCACGTCAGATGTTCCTCCCCTTCCGGGTGGTGGTATTTTGTCAATGTTTGCGGATGACACTGCCATCATCTATAAGGGTCGAGTGATCCGTGCTCTGACAAGAAAACTCCAATCTGGCCTGGATGTTCTGTCCGACTATTTTAAAATCTGGAAGATTTGTATCAATGCAGCTAAAACACAGACCATCCTGTTTCCACACTCCAATTCACCCCGGCTTGTTCCGCCTGCTAACTCAAAAGTCCACCTTGATAACACTCCCATTGAATGGTCGAGTGAAGTCGTCTACCTTGGTCTCACCCTTGACAGCAAGTTGCTATTCCGGTCCCATGTGGACAAAACATCCACCAAGTGCAACATCTTGATTAGGTCGCTCTACCCACTTATCAACAGGAAGTCAACCCTTTCCCTTAAAAACAAGCTTGCCATTCACAAGCAAATCATCTATAAGTCCTCCACGGACCCGCAATTCTGAGGTCCACCTCCTGGCTGGCCTTCAGCCTCTCGAAGAGCGACGAACGGTCTCCATGGAAAGGTTCAGGGACACCTGTCTGAGATCAGATCATCAGATCATACGTGATCTGGCACGTTAGGTTAAGTTAGAGCCGTAGTTAGGTAGGTTATCAAATTTTTCAATTAAAACAAAACACACTCCTCAAGAGGTATTCTGCTAACTAGATGAAATACGCAAATAGTAAATTATCCAATTATCCAAATATCAAATGAACAAAGATGAAGAGCCAGATAGGCTAATCAATTAACCTGTAAAATCAATGTATAAATCATAAACAACAGAAATAAACGAACATTTTACTACTACTGCTTCAACTCACTTTCGCTTCGGACGGCGGCTAAGCAGGTAGCAGCAGCAGCAACAGCACCAGCAGCAGTAGGAAGGCGGTTCCTGTCAAGCGCGCAGAGTTCGAGTGATGCACCTCGAACTTTGCGAGTCGTTCCCGTCGAGATCATTGGCTGCTGGTAGCGGCGTCGCCTCGATGGCGCAAGCGCTCCTTGCCTGAATGATAACTACAAATCTCGATTACTTTTCGGAAGGACATATCAGCTTTTGTAAACAACGCATTTTATCGTTGATTTGGCATAACTAATAGCTCGCCCCACATACTAACACCGCTAACAGGTTGGGAAAATTTCCCTTTCTCTGATGGTTGTACTAGCATGCGTGGGCGAGCTACCAGTTACGCCAAATCGACGATCAAATGCGTTGTTTACAAAAGCTGATACGTTCCTTCGAAAAAGTAATCGAAAAATTCTTCTAGGGCTGTGTACCAATTGCCGAGTTACGTTAAACTCGTGGTTAATGTTCATGATCAATGTTCGAAAATGCCGGAAATTGATCAGTTTTCGAACAGTTTCCGATGTTTCGAGGGGTGAATCGATTAGCTTGGGACCGAAGACAGTAACAGAGCTGAGCCAAACAGTTGAGCACGTTTCTTGGGGACCTTCTAGTCATAGAGTTACCTCTATGGTTGGACTCCCTCCGTTGAATCGTCTATGTCGGCAATGATCACCTTAATCACGTCGATCTGCAGCTCGAATACGTGATGTTCAGGGGGGAGAGGAATAAAATTCAATGATTCCACTGGCAGTAGTACTCTAGATTATTTACCTACACTAAATTTACTTTTGAAATTTACCTACAACTTAGCGAATGCTCTTTCTGGTTCTAGTAACATTTTCAAACCGGTAGACTTGCAATCCAGAACGAAATGGGCTCGGAATTGCTCAACCTGGGAGCATGATTGCTATCGTGGGAGATATTTTCAATTGATTTGTTCTAGAGGCGAATGATAACAATAATTCAGCGAGAAAAAAGAGGACACTTCGACAGTGAGCATGCATAAGGGCGTAAATGCGATGATCGATTCTCTTCGTCGATTTTTTTCTTTTGTTAATAACTCGCTGGAATTAACGTTTCTCGGTGCGTTTGCTGTTGCTTTTGATAGCCATTACAACCTGTTACAACTCTGCACTGAACAAATTCTAGAAAGTTGATTCACTTAGCTGTAGGAATGTAAAGTGAAAATCGATGAAGAGAATCGATCATCGCGTATAGGCCCTTATGCATGCTCACTGTCGACTTGCATTTTGTATTTTCTTTTGTTTTGTGTATCGATTCGACGGGATGACAAGAAAATGACATTTGATGCCGACAAATCTCGATGAACATTTCAATTGGTCCTATCTACTTTGATCGATTCTCTTCATCGACTTTCTCTATCGTCAATAACTCAGCTGCAAAACCTTTCCCTGTTGTATTTGACGTTTTGGACGCTAGATAAGAACCTCCTTTATCAAACTATGTGGTAGAATTAACGCGAAATCTGTTTGCATAGCAGTGGTTATGAAAAGAGAAAGTCGATTAAGAGAATCGATCAAAGCAGATAGGACCATTTGAAATGTTAATCGAGAAATACCTACCAACTCTATAGTGGCCTGGTTGCCAGCCGCTGCTTTTCAGATTTTTATCAAATACACAACATGATATGAGCTATATCATGAACTATTCGTGATATAGATTGACAGATCGTATGTATGGGATATCACGTAATATAGAACGTGATATAGCTGCTATATCACGTGACATTGAGCGTAATGAGAACGTGTTCAATATTTGACGTGTGGCCTAATAGTGTGATATCAGCTATACTGCCTATAATCCCATATCATTCCCATATGGAAAAAGTAGGCATTGAGAAAATGGCAGTTGAAGTTACGAAGTTCAATTCCTATGTAAATATTTGAAAAATCATCGTAAATTAATAGATATTTTATTCAAGGTGAAACCACTTACAATGGAGCTTGCATGATTTGTTACATCAGCGAAAAATATGGCGATTCAAAAAACAGAACTCTAACTTGATCTCTGGACGATCGAATTTCATGATGGGACTGATATGCGATTACTTTGCTTGATGGGACAAACTGACTTGATGTTGTTTTCACATTTTTCATGATCAAAGTCCGCAGTTTTATCATGCAATATGAAAGTAGATGCCAATTGATAGTGGATAACGTTGTTAGCATTGAAATTAAAAATAGCGTGTCTTTCAGTATTGATCTGATTTATTACACATATAGTGTAATAAAGTGGACGCAATATATAATAATTATTTAAATATCAAGATTAATCAACCGTCTGGAATTTTGTGCATTACGGTATCTGATAAAAAAGTAGACTCTAAAGGCCTCTGGAGTTGATTCAAGCAACATATGTAAATGAACAAAAAATATGGCTAAAAATGATTCTCAGGTTATCTTAATTGAGCTTCACCCATAAGTCCTCCACAGCTGGCATAAAAGATCTTTGAAACCTCTGAAAATAGCTCATTTTACTCCCAAGATGATCGATAGGGACTCAAGATATCCCTCATATCACCTATTACATACAAGTTGGTACAATATTTTAAGAATCAACTTTAAAGGAAACAATTTCATGTGAAGCACCCCTTCCAATCAAAAATATCTGTCCTGACGACGAACATTCATTACCAGCCACTTCTCTTCGTCACCTAACACGGCATAGACAAGACACCCGTTTCTTATCAGCAGCTTCATCGGCACACTCTCTACTGCGTCCATTCGATGACCAACAACTAATGGCTAGTTTAATCAAACATGTCTCACACCTATCTCCACTCATTCATTCCCGCATTCTCCCCTTTCATTTCCATTATGTTCCTATCCACATTCACTGTGTTAATAGCTTAATTAGCTGTGCTTAATCTGCTTTAAGACAAATTATAAACGATCATAAAATGGGAAAACAACGAACAAGCCCGATTATCTTTCTAGCCCCTATGGGGACATTGGCCAACTTTTACGATCACATACGACCACTCACTCCAAAAAAACAAGATCTTAATTTGTACCATACCCGTCACCCGTTGTTGTGTTGATTTTATTCACACTTTACAAGAAGAAGAAAAAAAGTAGTTGAACAACTGTAAGCTCACACATCTCAATTAACCGCACCTAACACTTCACATTTCGTTCCCAGTCACACGTGGCGCGAGCCTCGTCGAAGGCCGTTCCCTGCGGACAGGTGAAGACCTTCGAGCGACCCTCGGTGCTGCACTGAACGTACTGGTTACAGTTGAATGGATGCCGAATCTGGGTGCCTTGTCGTTGTCCATCGCACCGTTTCAGGATGTGATCCTCAACTACTATCGGCGGGAGAGCTGGAAGCTGAGGCATGACTGGAATTTCCGGGAAGTTCGGCGGCACCACTGGGGCGTTCAGGCAAGAAGCGATGTCATTGCGTTCGCAGTACTTTCGGTTGGCATCGAACAGGGTTCCAACTGGGCAATCGAAGGCAATCACTCCGGTCGGTGAACACTGGTAGAAGCTACTGCATGAACGTGGATTGGCCAGCAGGGTAGCAATCTGCTTTCCGATACAGGCCGTATTGGTGTGCTCGATGACCGAGGGAAGTGCTAGGATGGGAGTGTACTCAATGTCTAGCGGGAGTCTGCCAGGTTTGCAGCGGACGACGTTGGTAGGGTCACAGGCTTGGATCGCCGCATTGAACTTCGTATTCTGTGGGCAGGTGAACTGGACGGCACGACCCGGACGGCACATGAAAAATTCGGCACAGTTCTCCGGATTGGGAACCAGGGCCCCTGATCGGTAGTTGCGGCAAATCTGCGTGTGGAAAATCGTGACTAAGAACCATGGTCCATTCGGTGTTGGATTAAACGCTACTTACCAGAGAGTTGCCATGAACGACGGCGATCACTGCGACCAGTACGATGAACGATTTCATCATGAAGCGGATGGCGATATCAACTTCTTCTAACAGGGCCTGTAAGAATGAGGAATATTTATATAGGTTTGGTTTCTTATCAGCTCTAGCTCCGTCCGTGTGGTGACGGAGAAGCAAGCTATGATAAAAATCAAATTAGCCGCATTTGTTTCCAGTCGAAGCTGTGGCAGTTGAACTGACACTGGACATCGATACTTGGTCAATAGGATGTCAATTCGATTCTGTTAACAGTGAGGTCTGATTCATGGAATTGCCTACGAGTTGAAAACGAAAGCATGCAGGTTATTTATCGTAGAGAAAAGTAGAATGACAGACTAAGCTACAAGAAGATAACGTCACAATGTTTTCGGTAGGCTATCTAAAATGGTTGATGATTTGAGTTTGTCATATTAACAGACGAATGAAAAAAAAAAAACATAATTGAGATTGTGCTTGTTTACAAAATTGTTGAATCCAGGGCTGGCAAATGTCATTTTCAATGAAAGATCGCACGCGATATTTACAGAGATACTTCTGTCACTATCATCGGATGAGAAATCGATGATAAAGATTTTCTTCAAAATCTCATAGATTTTTTTGTCATGACAGAGCGTGACAGTGAGGTGATCATCATAATTACTAGCTCATTTATTGCTATTACAGTTACTTGTACCGAGGAAATCTTAATAATATATTCATTCTACCGATTACATACGTTTGCTTGCTTAAATTAATCTAAATCAGTTAGAAATGTTGATGTTAAAACCGCATAAGAATTATTGTCATAAGTGCTTGATCATTAGAAAATGATAAAGAAAGCCAATGATCCGTAGTTTCGATTCGTGATAGTGAGAGGTCCTGTTTTCTCATTGTCACATGACGGCTGTGATATTTACCAGCTCTGTTTTTTTTAATCTAGTTCGTTTATTTGTAAGGCTCAATCGCGTTAGCTTTACGGAGCCGATAATTCATTGTTCTTTGTTTATAACAAAATTCACTTAATTCTATGTCTAGTAGAAGTTGGGCCGGATACTCGTGGCTAATCCGAGGTTAGAGGGGTACATTGTCGAAGGATAGGAAAAGGGGTGGAGCTTGGGGGTAGGGTTTCGTTGTCTCATCAGAGCGATGCCGCCAGTATGAACGGTAGGACTTGGAGGACAAACAGCCAACCTGTGTCAACTGCGGGAATGCCCACACATCGACTAGTCGATCGTGTCCCAAGCGGCCTGAATTCATCGCACTGCGGAAGAAAGCAAGCCAGCCGAGACAACAGAAAAAGAAGCAACTTCCCGGAATCGATCTGGAAAATGATTTTCCACCGCTTCCTCCAACCGAAGGACGCGCACCAAATCTTCCTCCCCTTCCACTGCCCAGAAGGCAGTATAGGAATTCGCCGCAAGCCGAACCAAGCAGCACTCCTCCAGGATTCTGGGGAACCCAGCCTGGTGCTGTACCGTTGGTCCCTCCAACCGATGGTCTGACGTAGGTAATCCAGTCATCTGACAACGCTTATCAGTGAAATGCAATAAAATATGGTACAAATGATGCACTTCATGACGAACTTTCACCCTTAATTGGAACGCCCATTCAGTGGCGAGAAAACAGCCAGAAATCGTTGATTTCCTGCGCCAACATAACATCGATGTTGCGTTTCTAGCCGAGACGTATCTCAAACCGAAGGTCAACTTTAGCCTGCCAAATCACATAATTGCTAGACTGGACCGATTTCGAGCACAGAGGGGTGGTGACGTCGCCATTGCCATCAGGAGAGAACTGGAGTACAGGATGCTGCCTGCCTTTCGTCTATCGTTCGTGGAAGCCAGTGGAGTCGAACTGGCATCGCCGGATGGTCTCATCACACTCATTGCCATCTACTGTCCTGCCCAATGTAAGGAGTCGGCCAGGAGTCAACGCACGCCACTCGCTGTGGGGCAATGCAAGAAGTTACAAGCAGTGCTGGTCACGGACCTGCAGGCGGGACACTACGTGGTCCTCCATCCGGACTCGCCTAACTTCTACTCACCAGCCGGTGTCGGATCCACCCTCGACATCGTTCTCACCAACATGGCGGATGGTTGCTCTGAGCCCCGCGCCATTACCGATCTGTCATCCGACCACCTACCGGTGGTTTTCGAAATGAATCAAACCATCAACCAACGTCAGCAGCATCGTAGGCGAAACTATCATCGAGCGAACTGGCTTCAACTCCAGCGGTTTATGGAAGATCGAGTGGTCGAAAATCCTGTTTAACGACGACGGAAGAAATCGACAGCATGCTGCAAGCGCTCTCCGATGTCATAGGCGAAGCCGAACAATGGTTCATCCCGACAACCCCGGTGACATGTAAGTTTACCAACCTTGATGATGAGACCAAGCGTATAATATCTCTTAGGAAGTGTGTTAGGAGGCAGTTCCAAAGAACGCAAAACGTTAGTAGGAAAGTTTTATATAACAAATTAAACAAAATTATTGCCATTAGGGTGGAAAAACTTAGAAACAGGCAGTTTGCAAAAGACCTTAGTAGTTTACCAAATTACTCTAGGCCCTTCTGGCGTTTAACAAAAGTGCTTAAAAACATGCCGCCTCTTAGAGTTGATAATGAGGTTCACATAACAGCCGTCGAAAAGGCGAACTCCATTTCTCAACATTTTATGGCTTCGCATAATCTGGGTCGAGATATTGTCAGCCCGATGCACGGCCAAAAGTCGATTTCTCAAGATAAGCCAAAACAGATTCTGAATGCATGCATTTTATACTTCGGAGAGAGGGTAACATTGCCCTGTACTCATTATTTCTTTTTCTAAATTGACCGCGTTGTGGCATCAGGTCAAACTTTCCTATTGTTGAATCGTGTTGGTTTGTTAGAAAAAATCGTTGCGCATTGCCATTGTTTTCGTGTCTCTACTTATTGTTGGGATAATCACATTAGTTTGCAAAAATGGATAGTGATCAAGCAGGTATTGAAATATGTATTCCACATGACATCAGCTGATTTCACTTAGTTCTGACTTCGTAGAAACAGTTTATGAAAATCTTGTCTTCAAGTGCTATTTAAACTATAAAATAAATGTATCGTGATAAAAAGTTGACTTATCCTGTAATATCTTGTAAAGCCGTATATGAGGCATTATATGTACATGTGTATAGAAGATTATAGCAAAAAATCAGCTGCAATTATTTGCGATCTTTCGAGACATTGGAAAATGAAGATGGCGTGTCCATATAGGTGAATTTATCAAAAAAAGTATACAAATGCAGTTATTGATATTTTCATTTATCATATGGCGGTCAAGGCGGCAACCTAGGCAGTCAAGGCCTTGTTTTGGGAGGGGGAAGGGGGGAGGGGTTGCCTTTCAAGTATATTTTTCTTGTTTCTTAATTCCATCAGGTGCGTGTGTATATGGATTTTGATACGAGTGTGTTCCACAGTTGAGAATAGTTTGTGGATCCAATGCAAACATAGTTTGGCAAAACCCAAATCCATCTTCACTTCGCTACTGTCGCCCAATCCGCATAAGGTTTATCAAGGAATCATCTGAGGTAATTATAGAAGGCATCAGATATAAGATATAGTGAAATGGCAAGTAATTCACTATTAGACATACTTTATGCTCACTTTGGTTGGTGGGAATGTGTGTAATGCTGCAGCTGAAATGACATTAACGATAAAATGTTATATATGTGGCGCAAATTCAAAGCAATACAATAATCTTTCAAAAGAAATCAACACAGATTCTTGAAGGCCTCGTTCGGATTTTCCATTTTTCAGGCCAGGATTCGTACTTTCGAGACAATTTTACATCTTTCTTACAAGTTGCCGATCAAAAAATGGCGGTTGTCGGGGACCGTCCCGACCGATTGATGATGACTTCCACTTGCCAGGTGAACGTTCCCTTTATCCTCCTTACTTGATCCTGTTGCCTTCCGTCATCCGTAGACCTTCTTTCGCAAGCACCAAACACACCAATGTCCACACAAAATACATTTATGGCAGCCTTACTTTTGCTCAATAAAACAGATGAAATTATCCTTAATAAGTAAAAACAATCTCCTTAAAGTAGATCGGGTTGCTCCTTAAATGATTGATCAAAATACGTTAAAAATCTTAAAATGCTCAGTAAATATTTAAAGTACGCTCCCTAAAATAGAGAAAACTGTACATTAAGCATTTGAAAATGCTCCTTAGTATGCACCGCTTTGCTCAATCTTGAAGTGTAATTGTACCATATATCATCGGAAAAGCTGCTGTAGAAAGGTTAATAAGTACCATTAAATCAGCTGAAATGTTCAGTAAATCATTGTGAGCATTTGTGCATTTTTACTGTACATTTCAGCTGATTTCATGGTACTTTTTAACATTTATACAGCAGCATTTCCGATGATATATGGTACAATTACACTTCAAAATTGAGCAAAGCGGTGCATACTAAGGAGCATTTTCAAATGCTTAATGTACAGTTTTCTCTATTTTAGGGAGCGTACTTTAAATATTTACTGAGCATTTTAAGATTTTTAACGTATTTTGATCAATCATTTAAGGAGCAACCAGATCTATTTTAAAGAGTTTTTTTTCACTCATTAAGGAACATCGTCATTATTTAATGATTCATTTACCTTTTTACCATACATTTATTGCCACTAAAACACCGAGCTAAACACTACATCGAATTTTATTAATATACACTAATTTATTACTTTAATTAAAACTAAAACATATATTTTTTGCGTACGGGGTTCGCCCCCGGTCGACTACTCGCGACGGTGTACCTTCTAGACTAATTAATTTCCTATATTTACATTTCTATCGCATAATTCTACTTCCCACATTCTTCGGCGAGAAACTCTCTCCTTCTCCGTGCAGTTCGTGCATAGTAGTGAGTGACCACGGCGAATCGGTTCACTACCACTAGCCACCACACTCAACCGATTTTTAGCACCGTGGAGTACCTAAACTTAGTCAGTGCGGTTGGCTGCATCCGTAGTTTCATGCTGCTCGCAGACAGCGGTTAACTGGCAATGAAAAGCAAATCGTTAAAGAAAGAAAAGAACACATTCAAGAAAACTTC